TAACGGTTAATTTCCTTTTCATTCGAACAATATCATTATGGAAGAACACATTGTAGCACGGAAGGGATAAGACACCTTTCTTTTAATGATACGGTGCTCGCGAATTCATGAATTAAATAAGCACGCTATCCTTAGTGCCGCACACGTAATACAGAATCTAACGGATGATGATTAACGGATATTATTACTGTCATTATTACTGTGCTGTGTATACTTAAAAAGATCTTGCGGTAAGTACAATTTAAAACAACACCCGTACTGTCTGACTAATACGCACGTTGCGGTAGTTGTTATTTATAATCTGTTACCCATATCGCACATTAGCGATTGTGAAAATATCTGTGTACTCCACGCGTTTGAATTTCTTATTCATACGACATTCGATCGACATGCTTGTCGAATGTATTAAAAATTAAATATTGCAATTTCCGATTGCCAATGCCTTGCTCTACACGGCTCGATGCCAAATTCGCTACGCGTCTTATAAAATTAAGTAAATTACTATTACAATATCGATATACAAATTGGTGAAGGTAACATTATCTAAATGTCATTGTATGGTAATGTAATTAAATCCGTAATGTCACAAAAATATAGCGACTTCTTTGTATCTTATGTAATATCGTTGATCTATAATATATCTCATCTATATATCTTTATACAGAATCTCATCTATACATCTTTTTAACAGAAAGCGACAGATGATATGCTGATATATCGCAAGTTATTTCTCGCATTAGAAAATATTAAATTCATATGACCATATTTTATACTCTAAAATAATTTTTTTAAAATAATCTTGATTTTTTTTAAAGCAATTTTTCAAGCATATCAATTTACCTACTTGCATGAGCTGTGAGTGATTGGTGAACTGATCACCGACAGTTTATAACTGCGCACCGCGAACTTCAAGTACCTTTTTCGATGACCTCGTAATTACAATGTAATGGTGGTACCTTTATGGTAGGTTGTTTCGGGATATTACTACAAATCAGATATGCATGCGGCCGGCAGTAATTTCGTCGAAATTGCGAATTTCGTCGGTGTGGTACCGAGTATTCCGAAAGGATACGTAATGACCTTTCGCTGCACGTTTTAACAATTTTGGGCGATTTTATGCGTTACGTAAGATATATATTATACGAGAATAAGGGCATTTCAATACGACACGATGGAGCATGCTACTTTAACATGAACTGAATTTGTAACTGCCAAATCTGTACGATTACGTAACTTCTGGAAATTACTTTCTTTCAGAAACTTTTACAGAAGTTCTTTTTTTAAGACTCTTGATTACGATCCATTTTTTATTAAATTATTGATTAAGATCTTTGCTGTAGGTCGTAGGATATAGCCATCGTTCTTTCTTCCTCGGACAATTTGAGTAATGAAAACTGAAAATTCGGTACGTGCCGTAAGGTTAATCCAGACACATCGATCACCACATTAATCAGATGTTTCACAAACATTGTCGGATTCCGGCATCTGCGTGGGCCATCTTTCCATTCATCACGATCACCTCAGCCTATTTGTGCGCATTGCTTCGTTAACGACTTCACGCACACGAATGTTGAAGTAAGAGAGTTCAATCTCGTTATATCTCATACCGCCTAAGATCTAAGACGTATCGGCCTCGCAAAGAACGCAAATGTTACCCAAACGTGATTTACTATTATTTCTACCGTTTTACCATTGTTGTTAAAATACAAAAATTGCATAAATAATCAAGACGTAAACAAAGATTAGTGGAATAGAGAAATTGGAGAATTTTCTTTCGTACATGTATTGTATCTGCGATTTGTGCTAAATCTATAGATATTTGGATTTGATTTATGGACTGCATAGGATTGATTTTAATCAACGGATTTGACTTTTCGCTGGATAAACGCGCGCGATCGCGCGGCAACGCGCGATTTGTCAATACGCGGCGATCGGGGGTGCTTAATTGATCTCGGCATAATTGCTACTAATTATGGATCGGCACCGAGCGCGCCGCGGCATCGGCAGGTAGAGGCGCAGATAGGTGGCCACGTAACTCATCGCTGAGTGAAGGCTCGCGGATGCGCGCGGTTTGCCCTGTAATCGGGGATAAACGGGCATTACGCAATACTCCACGCGATGCGGAAGGCTCGTCGCATGTGCTACACGCGCGCGTTGTACACGTGTGTGCGTGGTTATTCTTCTGCCAGGCCTCCTTTTCTTCAGCCTGTGGCCGAGCTACATCAAGATCTGATGTGGCTCGGATACGTCACCTCTCAAGAAGCAGGATTCCACGTATGTGAAGTAAGTCTGGGTGGGGATCGGTGTCTAGATGCTGCGTGTAAAAATGTCCGCAATATGAAACAGTAGTTCAACTCGATGTCTATTTTCGGGTCCATTATAGGCTTACATTCATTTCTGTGCTCGAATGAGGCATTTCAGGGTCGTCGAGAAATTATTTGATATTGATACGATTTTTTTCTTACCGAGAGTTTTAAAACACAACAATAATTTTTTTTTTGAATGAGATTCTCTGAAAAAGTTTTTTCCAAAAATGATTTAAAAAGTACGATAAGAAAGTATCTAAATCTACACGCAGCGAAAAGAAATTAGAGCAAAACTAAGAAACTATTAAACATTAATAAAAAATTATAATTATAAAAATAGCTTATGCGACTATATCTAAGTATTTGATTATGTACTATTAATTTAGAATTGACGTTAAATGATCTATGGCTTTTCAGCACATTCTATACGATATGTAGTTTGAAAGAAAATTTACTATCTTACCACACACACATACACACACACATGCGCGCGCGCACACACACACACGCACGCACGCACGCAAATCTAAAGTTGTACAAAATAAACTTAAGACCAAGATGAGATATAAAAACTTAAAACTAATAATATTACAATTTGTGTAATTTAATTGTAGTTTTAAATTATAGTATTATTGCAGGCAATGTAAGAAATATCTTAAACAATATAAAAATAAACATTTATGTATACGTCGCGATTTTAGTAAACTCAAATAAATTACATTACGATATTGCAAGTTTTTGTATTCTCTTATTCGATTGTATAAAGATTCAGAAGTACATATAGAGTTAATGGACCGCTTCCTTCATTACGTACGACTCTCGACATAGGAGTCAATTAGAAGGGAAGAGATTCTGAGCTGAGAAATATGTTATTGGAGCAATCGCGGGCATTAAAGATGAAATCAAACAGGAATCCCCTAACGAAGCGTTTCTTAATCGGTCTGAGGATTCACGCGAGTCGCACTTAGGCAAAAATGCACCCGGTGACTTTCTCCAGAGAGGACTAGTAAACACGGTCGGAATACCCGGCTCGTTCGTTCGCGGCCGAACTCGTAAATCTTGCGTACTTGTTTTCACGCGTACGCGATTGTCCTAGATATTTCGCCTCTATTCGGTTTGCTTTAAATTTGTAATAGCCCGGATCTATATGGACATTCGCGTCTCAAATTTGTAATAGTCCGAATAAGGACATCCGCGTGCCCGCGATTATTTTCGCCTTCCTTATGTTCGAATGACATCGTCACATTTTAGAACATGACGAATCCGCAGAATGCTGTAACAATGGTTATCTATTCTTACAGAAAACATTTTAAGGAATTTTTAGACGGCCAAATTTTTTTTTGTATCTATTTTTTTGTTATTTTATTAGAAATGTTATTAATATTAATATCAAGAGAACTTTTATTTTATTAATATTTAATATTAATAGAGGATTTTTTTTATTTTTATTTATTTTTATTTATTTAAGTTTTATAATCTTATATATTTAATTTTGCAAAATTGTCTTATTTTAATTTTTATTATATATATATTATAAATTTTTTATTTGGATATAATTTTATTTTAATATAATTACGATGTTTATGTTACACACATGTATTATTTGCAGCAATGATGAAATAGCTGCAGGGATAGCTTAAAGATTAGATACGTTATTGCGATTAATATGAATACCAAATTAATGTTCCAAACCTTTACTTAAAGTAATCTCATATGCAGATTAAATGAACTGATTTTGCGAAATTATCTTATATTTCTACTATGTTATTAACATGATATGATCATATAGAATAATGGCACAGATACTTTTATAATTTGTAATGTGTATTTGCGATTTAATGAAATTTGCAGTATGCAATTTAGATGTTACACATTGGAGAAAGTTTATCTCCATGGACGTGCAAACTTCCTGATGACATAATACAAAACAGCAGCATCTCTTGACGACGTACTTACCGAGTATTCCAGGCGCTGAACTTGACATAATAAGAAAAAAGCCACAGCTTATACTTTTTTTTCTTTCGCAAATAATTACCCGTTATATACTACGAAGCACTTTTTAACCAAAGGAATTATAAACCATAGTTGGAATTCAAGATAATTTTGTTAACATATAAATTTGGTAAATAATAAAAACATCGTTATTTTATATCCTTGGAGAGTATATTTTCTTAAATGCAGCTAAAGAATATTGTATGAACTTCTTGTAAACGGCACAATTCGCTTGAGAGAGAAATGCAGCTAACATATAAGCCTCGAGAGTAACTGTGAATCACGGGAAAGAGTTTTATCTCATCTCTTCTATATGAGAAACATAAGACGAATATGGGGCGCTCGTCTCTATTTTCTCCGAGATTACCTACGAGATGCGAAATAAACACAGGGTGAATGCAGTAGGGTTGAATAATCAAGATGCTCCCGCATCAACTGTATAATTATAACGGAAGTGTGATGCCTGTCACACATTAGTTGATGTCGCAATATTTTGATCACGTATATGTGCTTGCCGCCATGACTTTTCACGTAAGAGAATGACGAAATTGTCAAAGATATGTGCGATTGGTAATAATAACAGAAAGCCCGAATATAAAACGCAATTCTTCTTCACTGTGTTAAGCTAAGGTTCGATGGTGTTAAACAAATAAGAAATTTTTATGAAAAAATGTCTTTATTGGAAAAAAGACTGCGCTCACAAGCGGGGGATCGGTATATCCTATATAATACTTTCTTATATGTTTTAATGGAAAGCAGGACCGTATGTGGGTGACGGTGCTCCCGGGTAATTTCTCCCACCAAAATTGTTATAACTGCTGTCTAGGGAGTTAGCGCCAAACTGGTAGTTGTTGGCGTTGTTGTAGTGTCCACCGCCCTGTGGGTAGTTGTAACCGCCCTGATTACCTGTTGATATAAAACATCGAGAGATAATGTAACAATGTGTACGAGGTAGCTCTAACAATAATAAACATTATTCAGAATGTTTGAAAAAACGAGATATTAACATATTCAAATAATTTTGTTTCGGTATATTTCCACGTGCAATATCTCGTAAAGAAAATCGCTTTTCGATAATCCTCTCTTAATATTTTTATTCGTAGATTGACGGAAAAAAATATAAATAAAATTAAAATTATTATTATTATTATTATTTTGAATTAAAATTAGTTCATGCGAAAAGAAATGCATTCTATACAAAAGTGCAAGCAAGTCGTCTGAATTGCCAAAATTATAAATCCCTTTTATTGTTAATAAAATTAATTTTTCGATTTATATTGACTAGATATTTTTTCATACAGTTTGGTGAATATTATTTGTCGTCTAAAAGTACTTTTTAAATATCCTGTAGATCACGTATGATGTAGCATGCTTGAAGGAGTTACGAGCTAAAATGTTAAACGTTCTGTTCTACACGCACCTCCGGTAAATCCGCCTCCGCCGCCGATTTGATTTCCCTGGTAGCCGAAACCTTGACCAGCGTTATATCCGGTGCTGTACTGGTCCGGATAAGTCGCGGTACCCTCGTACCTAACATCGGCGTGAAAACCGGTCCTCCAGTCGGCGGTGTAAGTGACAATCTGCGTCCTACCGTCCGGAAGCTGCACTCTGTACTCCCCGCGAACGGTCTCGCCGTCGCTCGTCTCTTGCCTACCGAAATCATTTCCGGTAGCCTGATCCTTCACGGAATAGCCGAACTCGTAGGCCTTGGGCTGAAGCAAAATACAAATAATCGCGGATCCCTTTTCTTTCTCTTATCTCTTCGTAGAAGATGGTAGAGAAAACATAGAGAGAGACAGAGAGAGTGAGAGTGAGAGGTAGGGGAAGAATAAAGAACCGCAAGATGTAAAAGTCATAAATGAGATAAATGAGAAAAGGTGATAAGTGAAAAAATAACACGAATGGATGCACATTATTAATGCGGCAATGACGCAACCACCCTAGTCGGGACGACAAGCTTTCCTTCCTTCGTCCCGGCAAAGTAGAGCGGACGACGATGCTGAAGAGAAGCTGCCGCGCCACGCCGCGCCGCGCGATTTAATCTGGCTCATGGCACACACAACCATCACCGCGCTACTATCACCAGCAGCGGGGCTCGCTCGCCGACGGGCAGATCCGCGCGAGATGCGAGAACGCGCATCTCTCGCGAGCGCGCTCAGATCCCTGGGACGATTAGCTAACCAGCAATAACGATTTACCGTGAATTATGCCCGCGGTCGCGGTTCACCCTATTAATATTGTTACATCATTCCCGGTTTGCGCCACACTCTCGCTCTCGGACTCGAATTTGTAGCATCGCGAGACACTTGAACGCGATGCGTCGATCCTCGATTAACGTAATCGCGTTCAAACAAAATGTGCGAGTATGGGTAGCAAGCTAATAGAAGAACGCGTATAGGCGTCTTTCGACCATAGATTTTTAACCCAATTGATTGCGAGATATATTGTGCAAAGCAATGTTTTGCTTTTACGAGGAAGAGAGAGAGGTATACGATAATTCTTTCTTCTAAGATATTTCATATATGTGAAATGAAAAATTGAAAGAATTTGTAAAAATAAAAGTTTTAATTTTTAACCATTAAGACATTTTAAAACAAGGGAATTCTTAACTATATGCAAGCTGATATATATTGTTGGCTGGTAATATTGAATATTGCACGTGTCACGATTATCATTTTTATATCAATTTTAAATTAATTGATTTAATTTATAAGTATTTCAATCACCAAACAATCCTCTCTTTCGGTGATGATTACTAATAAACGTCTCGCTGTGAGAAATGGTGTAGTGTCAATTTGAGATAAGTGCAGGGTATAGATATCTTATGATGATATCAGCCGCAAATCATGAGAGATTATAAAAGATAAAAGAGACATCTCGATCATGATATAACGTTAAGTATCTCTCAGGATCCATCGTCCTACTCATCGTCTATAAAAAATCGTGAGGTCATTCAGAAAATAGAGTTAGTTCAAGCGCAGAGCGCACTCCCTCGGACGAGGTTTACGTAATGAGGTCAGGCCATTCTTTATTCAAAGAGTTCAATGTTATTTTCAAGACATGACCGAATCTAGATCTGAAATGTTCAACTTTGACCGCGGGAGTGCCACGCGTTTTCGCAAGAGCTGTCAGAATAATTGACGATACGTATTGTACATACATTAGGAGCAAGGACCCAGATTTAGAAAGCAACAGTGAATTCTCCGAACAAAAGAGCCTCTGTCTTGATGACGTAATAGGCTTTTTCCCTTAATGTTTCGGATTATGCAATTCTCAAAATCATCGGCGAAATATCGAGACCTATCATGAGTCATCTTGAACTCGCAAATCGAAATAGCAAAAAGTCGTCGACGATTATAAAAAGTATAGTAAAAATGTTTCTCTCGTCACGCTAATTGATACTAATTATTTTGCATTATTTTATAAACGATTTTTCAATAAAAGAATGCATCGCTTAATTACTTAACAAGCGTCTGGTTTAATTATGCTCACACAATTTGCTGCCTGATTTCGCAAAACGTGTTGCACCAGCTATTGAAGTAATCATCGAATGAAGATCAAAGATGATAGGCCGAGATTCGATCCCACGTTGTGTCAGATCGTATTGCATAAATTTTTAATCGAGCAATTACAATATCTCGTCCCTGTAAAAGTTCTATAAACTAGTTCTACTTTTTTTTTTACATTTCACTAGTACGTTTATATTGCATTGTTGCCAAATAATTGAACTTTGCAGCATTACTCATTTCATTTAAAATCACTTCAAGAGAATCGCTTAATAATTACAACTATTTCATATCGGATGTTTAAAAGAAGAAATTGTTAATAAGCACAGGGTTATAATTATTGTAATGAAAATATTAATTCTTATTTCGAGAGAAGAAGCTAGCAAGTGTGTAAAAAAACAACAAAGTTATGATGGAAACATATTGAGACATAGGATACATTGTCTTCGTGTGTGCAATTTCATTGGAGTTTGCTTAGACACATATATGTATTACAAATACCTCATTATCTGTATAATCTTGATTATCGTGCCCACCATAATGGCCCCCAAATCCGTTCCCACCACCTTGTGCCCCATGATGACCTCCACCTGCGTAATTTCCGGGGACGCCGTACTGATTGCTGAGGGGTGGTTCGCAGAGCACGATGCCGATGCTCGCCATTAGGGCGAACAGCACCTGTGTATAAAAATAATTATTAGATTAATAAAGGCGCATAAACATAAATGATGTGAATATAAAATATATTTTATAAGTATTTAATTTTACTAATGAGAGATAAATATTTGAATCTGTTCGAGGAGAATAATTCTATTTATTAAATGTCCAATTCTGCCTAGAGTGATAAATATTAAAAACAAAAATCAACATCGGTTATTTCTGTTTAACATCATATATATCGGCACAAAGTATTAGTTAGGACTGTCATTTATGTATCAAGTTTCTTTGCGTATTATAAAAGTAATAAGTTTCCAAAAAACAAAACTTTTTGAAAATCTCAAAATTTACAGGTTTCTATATATTGATTTTTTTATTAGATTGTTTATAGCGTTTATTGTTTTTGAATATTAAGTAATGTAAATGATCTGAATTAAAGTAATCGTGGGAACGAAAGAAATTTATCTTCGCAATGCATGCAGGTGCAGGCATCTACACGTAGATATTAACACGTATAATGTTCTCACATGCTATGTTAAACATAGAGCGAGGTAATACGCGGGTTCGAACAAAAAAGGGGGTTCGAACAAAAAAGGGGGTTTAAACAGGACTGTCAGCGGAACGCTAATTAGTTCCTAAAATATTTCCGATGACTTCCCAGGGATGCTTTCCATACGTCAGATGAGAACGTCAGATGATCAACAACGCGCACTCGTTGCGTAGGCGGGAAATTAGACTCATGTGCCTCTATCTTTTCTTCTCTCGTTTCTGCCGTATCGTGAGAAGGTGCACGATATTACATCACCGGCACTTTAAAAACTGACGCAAGACTAAACATAACGGTAAAGGAATCAGCGAGCTCTTAGGCACGTAATCCGTGACTTTTCCGCGGGAAAATGTCTTTCATACGCATGATTTTTCAGATAATTAAGTAGCTGCTGTAGTACACTAATGTCTGAGTATAAATGAAGATAAAATCTCGCGTGGGCATAAATTAGTTTCGTCGAATGTTGCAACGGTTGATTAAGCCGACACTTATAAAGGAGCGGCAATTATTCCGTTTATGCATTGTATTATATGTATTTTTTAATAATATGTTTTATATATATATATTTTTTTTAATTTAAAATAATCGCTTAATGATTATAAATATTTTATATTGCATATTTTAAGAAATTGTTAACAAGCATAGCGTTAATTATTGTGAAGAAAATTACAAAAAATATATATATTTTGTATACATAATATACATATAATCAATTAAATGTAATATACGGAATTTGATATATCCACGAGATGTAAAAATCTTTATAGTAGTTAAAATTCTACAAACCAACACCTTCCAAAAAAATTTATTAATAAAAACCTGAATCAACGGTTTTTATCCTATATCAATCAAATAACTAAATATCTCTGTTTTAGTAAATATACTAATGTATAATGATTGTGTGCATTAGCATAATTATAACGTATTAATCACAATGCATCTCAATGTACTTTATGTATATGCAACGTATGTGTACGAGTATGCAAATTAAAGTATTGTCCTAATAATACCAGTGTGTTAGTGAGTATATCACTATACTAATATTTGTTGAGAAGTATAATATATGAAAGATATCAATCTGCATTTTTCTCTTCAAGATATTCTCGTCTTAACGCTTCTTTATTTTTCGTATTATCAATCTAGTTGTTGTTTTACATAAATTGTTTTTGTATGTATCAATTTGTATCGATTTTTGTACTAAATTGCAGACATAGATATAATAAATGAAGAAAATACTTTTAAACTTATTTTGTTTTGTTTTGTTCAATCTTTAATAAAATATATATTTTACACCATTATTATAATTTTTCTTAAAAGTTAATGTTAAATTTCTGAACATTTTCAAAGCTTTAAATTAATGTCATGTGTATATTGTGTATATCATTTTTCCATAATTCAATATTTTATAAATTTACACACCTCTCACTCTTTCTCAACTACACTTTTCCCAACTACACATACATACAAAATATTAATATTTGAAATCATATATATAATCATTAATATTAATGCCACTTTCAATTTTTAATGTGAAACAAAGGAAAAGCAATAAAAGAGAAGCAAAGCAAAGAAATACAATAAAATGCAATGTACATACGCGATGCTAAACGCACTAAACGCTAAAGATATCAGATACATATCTCTAGAAAAATGTGCGTTTGACAATTGGTATTATATAGTCGATGTAAAAAGAAATCCTTTACAGCGTTACTTTAATAAACTCTACGCTGTAAAACAACTTTTCAAGTCTTATTTTATAAACTTAGAATTCTTTCAACATTAAGTAAAGAGGAGTATACTCAGAGGACGAAATGTATACTCTAAGTATTATATACAATTTACTCAATAAATAGTAATAACAGACAATAGGTGAGAAATTAATTATATAAGTTTTCAAAAGAATTCAGTTTGTATTGTTACAATTACATCCTTTCTTAATCTTTGTAGTACCTAATTTCTCACGCAATTAGTAATAAGACATTCACCTTGCTTGACTTTCCTACGCAGTACATATCCTTTCTTCTCTCTTTTAATTTTCAATTTAGACTTTAATCTTAATTAACAATTAATTTTATATAAATTAGAAACTTACATCACTTAAGTACATAGTTCTAGTATTAAAAGTTTTATGAAACAAGCTCAGATATAAGAACCCATGAATGCCAACCTAATCAACCGCATGCGTTTACCCAATACCAGATACCAACAATTAATACTGATATAATTTCGCTGGTCAATTTCATTATTTAAATACCAAAATACATGCAACAATGATTTTTATAGTTACCCGCGAATAAATAAAATACGATATCCGACACAAATTCCTTTTCACGCGTACTTACGAAATTGAACTCAGCGAAATTATATTGATATTAATCCTTGCCAGAGACTCACGGCGGATCGTCATCTCTCGCTTGGCGATCACACTTAGGACGCGGGGGAACCCCCGGAAGCACACCCGCGACCACACGGCGGAGTCAAAAGTTTCCCCGACAGAAAGATAAAGAGCTCAACTGATAGCCGATCGATTTTATCGTATCACGAGTCTGCACCTTTCTCGCGCGACGCATTTACCTGACGCACTATCAAATCCATGCTCGGGGAACGACGGAGCTCGCGGGGGTGGGTGGTGGTGGTGCGGGATACGACGCTTCGAATACCGTGCGAAGTTGAAGAAGAGCACACTGGACTGAATGCTGAAATATGGTGACGTTTCGGCGCGCATACCGGTGCTTATATAGAGAGCCCTCTTTCTCTCTCTCCCTTTCTCGTCTCTCCGCTTCCACGGAGAAGATCCGTTTCCTGTCGCCGCGGCCGCCGCCGCCGCCACCGTCGGGGGAGGCAAGCCGACGAGGGATTCGTTCGAGCGGCAGCGATAGGCAGAGTATAAGAGACGGCGGCCGCATCTACTCCAGTTCACATAGGGAGGCCGCCGTGTGGAAAGCCCGCGCTTTATTTCCCATTGTTCTCTCGGCCGCCTCGCGCGCGATTTCGGGCCCCAGGAGAGCGAGCCTAGACGAACGGGGAGCAGAGCGAATTCGAGTCGAATCGCGTCTACGCCGCGCGCGGAGAAAGCTGATTGCTTCATCGCGTGGGACAGCCCGCGGCGCGGCGCGGCGCGGCGCGCCGCTGCTCGCCTTCTTCGAGCGGACTAATTAGGCAATTGAGTCTTAATTAAGTGGCAGGACCAACGGACGCGAACGCGCGAGTCCACGAGTGGGTCCACGGGAACGAGCTCGTTAGCTACCTAGAGACGCACAGGATCCCTGAAAAGGACGCGACGTTGAAAGGGGGGGGGGGGGGTTACACAGAAGGCACTCAGAGAAGAATGTTGAGCTGTACATATAGTTGTATCAATTATCATTAATATTATAAAGACGGTCTAAAATTGATATTAATTGAGAACTGATGCAATCGAATGTATGAATGCAAATCTTAAATTAATGAGATTAATTAAAAGATATATCTTCATGGATCGTTTAGTCTAATATTTCAAATTTGAGAGATCTGCAATTTTCTACAATTCATAATTCAGAAATGGTCTTTGTTTCTTTCAAGTATAAGAACTCGTAATTAATTTTTAATTATTAACTCGAATAGCTATCGAGTTGTCAGATAAAAGTGACTTATTTTAAATACATCTATACTAATATATAAAATCCTTACGGGTGGTGTATGTTTGAACGTTAATAACTTGAAAATTATTGGACCGAAATTTTACTACAAGTATATGAAATAGGGGTAGAATGTTCTGGAATGTGCTATAGAGTGTGTATTTTTTCGTTACCGATTTTCTGGAAACCGATTTTTTTAATTCTTTATTTTTTAAATATTAAAACAATTAAAGAAATCGGTTTCCAGAAAATAGATAACGAAAAATAAAGATAGAAATAGAGGCAAAGGAAGAGGGAGAGAGAAAGAGAGGGGGGAGAGGGAGAGGGAAAGAGAGAGAGAGAGAAAGAGAAAGAGAGAGAGAGAGAGAGACTATTTGCGTGTCTTAATACACATGTCCTCCGGGGCGAAGCCCGGGTAACCAGCTAGTTATTTAATAAAATTGTGCAATTAAAATTAATAATTTTCCAGTCGTGCGTGCGTGCTGTTTACTAAATTATATGGAAATAGTTAATTTAATAGCTACTGTAGCGGAGTTAAACTGTCAAATTTAAACTGATTTGAGTGATCGCGAAGATTTTAATCCGCGAACAATCGTAGATACACGCGCGTAGATTCAAGCAGCGCGTATATGTAAACGCCCCTGAATCAGAATTACGACGAAGAGGCAGGCACAGCAGGCGCGAGTAACATCGCTCCCGTTTAGAGGATTGCGCAATCGGGGGCTTAATTATGCGGGATCCTCACACAGCGTGCCCGCTCGCCTCCGTAAATCCTGCCTTTCGATCCTCTTTGTACGCGTCGTCACCGCGCGCGCGCACGAGGAAGGGCACACGCTCATCTGGAGCATTACTAACGACGCTCTCTCTCACCTTTCATGCTTCTATTTCTTTTGTGAATACGCACGCGGATCCGCGCGTGTCCTTGAAAGATCTCCGCAATGTACGCAAGCGAGACCGGAGGGGTGTCATCATCCTCGTAATATTAATATGCCTGCACCGGCGTGCACCGACAACCGTAACGATATGCTAATGCCGCAATGTAGCTCGTTACGTCAAGCAGTTAGAACCGCGTAAGACCCAAACGGCGGACTAATCCTTTCGCTTACTGCGGATCCAATTATGGACATTACTTTATCTTCTCACGTAACATTAACAGAAATATATAAGAAAGATGCATATATATAGGATGCACGGTAGCTGAGTTCGACAAGGAAGAAGCCCGAAGAAAGGAATAACTATGGCATTTCTTTCTTATGTATGATATTTCTTGTGTTCAATAGAATTATGACTTTAGAAATGTTCTACATGTCGCAATCGTAAGAAATTCGAAGCTGAAGTTGTAAAGAAAGGCTATTTTAATGTGATTTATCTTGCTACCATATGTTACATATGACGTGCTAAAAAGATTTACTTCGTTCAGGATTAAATAGATTAATGGAACCGTCAATTTTCGAAAGAATTTAATGTGTGAAAATTAAAATTAATAAGATTTGTGTCAAATATTGAATTTATTATTAATCTTAATTTCTATGAAAACAAATTTTATGAGAAATTGAAAGTTTTAACGGTATATTTAATTTTGAATAGAATAAAATGTTTAGCATACAGGTATAGCATAATAAGTTGAAGTAACTCTTTTGTGCAATATTAATTTCAAGTCAAACTTTCGAGATTATAATTTGTAGAGTATTTAAAAAATCATAATTAATATATGCAGTTACTAAAAAACCTATTAAAATGTGACTAATGTTTTTCTTTGGTTTGAAAAAAGTTATCTTTTGTTTAACTGTATGATAAGTTTATTTGGTGACCACGCTGATATTTATCAAAAACTGAATTTCTTCTTCGACCAAAATTCCTTAACCGCACTGTAATTCTTTCGCTATATTCGACTACTTGCAATGTTTTGAGATCATATCTAAAATTAAGATTTTGTTAACATAAAACTTACTCAAAATTAATTGAATGATAATATGAAGACTCAAAATATATCATTTAAGGGACGGATGTTGATTTTGCTCTTCTCTGATTGTCTGAACTGGTTTGGAATTTTTGATGTGTCCATTTTTGTTGCAATATCTGAATGGAATTGTATGTTAGTATAGAGAGTATAAACCACCGTTCGCGTTTAATGAAGGATGACAGAAATATTGCGACGAGACTACCCAGACGACGTCATTCTTTACATGCGATACAGTCTCAGTAGAAGTTTATTTCTTTTTAATGACACACACCGCTCGTCTCGACAGTTCCGTTCGCGAATTATCCCACAATTTTGTCAACGAGTTGACGTTTCCGGAATCGTGCTTAAGTCGGCTCTGTAAACGCACTTACCGTTAGTAGAAGCGATATCACAAAAAAGTATATTATTTTGCATTGTGTGAGATACACATTTGGAATCTTCAAACGAATGAAGAACACAAAGAAATTTACGAGTAAATTTGACTAATTAAAATGCTCATCGAACTTTCGCTTTTAAAATTTCATGAAAAAATAACGAAATTAATACATGCAAATTAATACTAAAAAATATTATTTTAATTATAAATTATAATTGTAAACATTCTACATTATTATTAAATACGTAATGTATTACATTATTAATTTTTATACATTATTATTATTATATGTGATAGATCATTATTATTACTGTAACACAGGACTACGTATACCGTGCGTGCAACACGACAATCATCTTCAACGACTGTCGGGAGCTGACAGAGGGGTACCTGTGCAGGCACTTAAACTCAAGTGAGACTTTCCTAAGTGATGCGTTTCACGCGTTGCTTGCTTTCTACGGTAAAGCCGCAAAGCCACCGGCATAGGAATGCCGCGCGGTGATACAATCTGATTTAAATTTGACGCTATTTGCTCTTCTTACCTATGATTACCTAACGGCGGATAATTCCGTTTCGCAATGCAGCGCCGGCGGTCACGCAATCTCTCCCTCATCATCAGCGTCCTCACCATCGGCTAGATCGCTGCATGGAATCCCACCACTGTGCGCATAACGACGAGCTCGAATGATGATTGCCGGTTCATGCCGGATGACTTGCGAAAAGGCGCGGATGAGTAGCTTCGCCCGTCATTAGAATCGAGGGAGTGCCCTGTGAAAATCGCTCGATGATTCCCCCGAAATCAAAACCCCTAGAAATTAGATTTTTATTTCTGGCACAAACTTTTATACATGATTGATTACAATGATTGTTTATTTGTAAACTCATATATACGGGTGGAATAATAATTCTTCAATAATGCTAGAAATGTATTTTAGATATCAAATGACAGCGAGAGAACGAGAGAAAGAGAGGAGAAGAGTTATTCTCACTAAATTATTTAATTAATAACAAGTTTGACATTTTCAAAATTTTCTCGTTGATTTTTATTTTATTTTATTCGACATACCATTTAGAGAACAAATACTTCGAGCATTCCGATTACGTTGTGATGATAGTATACCATCTCGGTATACCATCAGCAACGCAGATTATTCAGTAGCCCGGTAATGACGATATGATATTTACATTTTATAAAGAGATATTTCCATGGAAAATGATATCGGAATGAGTATCAAATGTGCGGTTTCCATACATTCGACGTATGTATGCGGAAAATTGATTTGTGTTAATTTTGACGTTCCATTCGCGAGCCTATTTATACGACGTAGAAATACCTGGTTGTATCTTCATACAAGCGTGAAACATTTCACACGACTTGTTAACGTTTAACGTGTAGATTATTAAAACGTCACGCTACGTTAATTACTATTTGTCAGACTTTTTAACGAGTCAAACTGCAAGCTGTAATTTGCGAGTATTACGGAAAATCGCGCCATGGCTCGCTGAGCGATACGCAACGATGCTCTCGGAGATATACAGAGTGTGTTACCAAATTTTATTGCAGATAGAAAATGTAGTTTAGCTAGGTGAATGTGAAACATAATGAAATTGGGTAATGTGAGAAGGAAGACATAAACTCAACTTCGTTGTTATTCGCACCGCAAATATTACGCTTGTTCGGCTTGCAAAGTATCTCTTTAAATTTAAATAGATACAGATACAGATACATCACGTACATTTTTAATTTAACATTTTCTTGATATTATGTCAATTATAAAAAATAATCAATATTAGAACAAATCATCCTTACCAAATATCAAGATAACAATGCTATAGCTTTATTTTGTTATTCTTAACACGATACAAGTTTGTAAAAATATTTCGTAAGATAAATTTTATTCATTTTTTTATCCATAATTATCTATGTCGATAATTCAGTTCTCTGAGCCTCATAATATGCCTCGTTATGTATGCTATCTACTGCGGGCATAATATCCATTAATGATAACATAAGATTTGTAAATTTGCATGCAGATGAAGTTTGGAGCGTTTATTTAAAAAAATTAAAAATTGGTTTAATTAAAATAAATGATAAAAAAATATATTTATATAAAAAACTATAAAATTATAACATAAAAACCAATTTAAAAGTAATAAACAAATAACAAAACATAAAAAAGAGCAGAATAAAAAGAATAAAAGCCAGAATAAAAAGGACAAAAACGCGCATTCCTGATGTGATTTGTAATAAAATATACAAGTGTAAAAACAATCTAAGATTTTTGACTGTAAGAATAAAATAGTTTGTTAATAGTCGAGGTCTCTAAAAGATTTTTTATACATTTATATCAAATTTAAATGTCTATAAATGAGTTTTATTATCTTGTCAGAAAATATTTTAAAATTCTTGAAAACAATAGTAGATAAATAGAGAATATTAAAAAAAATTTGGATACATTTTTATAAAGTGCTTTTAAAACCAGGATTGAAATAACTGCTAAGCAACATGCGCTACGTGTCTATTTTATCGAATCGATTGTTTAAGTATAGACGCGACTGATTTTACGTCGTTACAGTCTTTCTTTTTCTGCGGGTTCATTTGGAAACACTTCCAGAGCCTGATCCTTTCATCGGCACCGGCACTAAGCACCGTAGTTCCGTCCGGCGACATGGCTAAATGCAATACACGACTGGTGTGTCTGGTAAGTTCCGCGAGCTTCGTCATCATTGGGTATTTCCAGATTGTCAGCTGATTTTGTGCATATCCGTGTCCAGAAACGATCTCTTTGTAGTTTGTAGACCACAACAAAGCGCAGACCTGAGACTTGGTGTCTATCGTATTCAAACAGCTACCTGTTATAAACCAAAAAGTCGAATAACTTGTTACAATCTTTATTTCATTCTCACTACTAATTGTTATATTCATTTCTTATTACTACGTTAAATTTAGTATGCTTTATTACAATTTACAAATCGCCAAATTCGGTAACTTGCCTACGTTGCAATTCCAAAACCTAATGGTACGATCGGCGGTACCGCCACCGCTCGCGAGGACATTATTTTGCCAAGGGCACCAAGCGAGCGCTTTTACGGCAGCTTGATGATGATTGAACGAATAAATAGGTTGTGTCTGAGAGTGCCTTTGTCCGGTGATCGACGACCAGATTTGTAGCATGTCGTCGTTGCCGCCACTCGCCAGATACTGCCCATCGGGCGACCACTTCAAGCCGCACACTTCTCGAGCGTGTGCGTTTATAGTCGCGATCAAATGATCCCGTTCCCTGATGTCGTGATGCACTATTTTACCAGACCTTTGAAACAATTACAATAATTTAACTTTAATTCTAATCTTAAATCTATCTCACGCTTTTATTTTCGGTTTTAATATCGGTTATAGTTTATTTACATTTTAATGATTGGAGTTTCCTAAAATTTTCAATGAATGTACTTAATTTTGAATTATTATTACATTCATTAATTTAATAAATAGCTCTACAAAATTATTTTTTATAAAGATTAATTAATTTCTTTTAGAAGTTATGGACAACCAGAAAAATTTGCTATCCCGCGTACTACCTGCAACCGCTTGATAGTATATGGGAATTCCAGGAGAGAGAACCGACTCTGGCTACATGTCCGTTCATGACGCGCATTATCTTCATCGAATTGCAATCCCACAATTCTGTATTTCCTTTTGTGGTACCCACTGCCAAATATGGTCTTTCTTCCTGAATCCACGCGACGGAACACACGTAATCGTTCGCCTCCAATTCAAATAGGTGCTCTGTAGTATCAGTTCCGGCGTTCCATAAGTAAACGTTAGCGTCTAACGCCACGGCCAGGATATTATTGTTCGACCAATCCACCAAGTTTAGATCTGTAAATATCATATATTTCTACTCATACATTCTTCCGCGTCTTTCAGAGAGGAGAAACGCAAGAGAGCAGGTCGCTTACAATAATTATTGATAATTTCAGGCGCGTCCAATGTTTTGTATGGGGACTGCGGTATGTATCTCGTGGAACCTCTGACGCTAGCCGGCGTCTTAGTTTGACTGTACAGGACCTTGAGGGGATTCTGATATCCCTTCGACGGCGCTGGTGCTTTAATCTGATAAGACAAAACCCTCGTATTGTTTATGTCGCGACCGTGAAGATTCTCTCCTATGAGACGCTGCATCTCCCGTTTCATAGGGCACGTTCTGTCGGCTCGGTCTTTATCTTGTTCGGCATTCTGTTGCTGAAGAATCTGAAGTAGAAAAAGAGCAATGTATAAATATAGTGTGAAATTATAACATACTGAGATAATTTCAAACTTTGTTACGAAAATGATACTCACTTTGAAGTGACTTAATTCAAAATTAGTTGTGGCTCTCGACGGGATGAATCTGTCACCTGTGAGAGGCAATTGAAATTTCGTTTTTTTCAGCAACGTATAAACATGAGGCATCTTATTTGGCGATTTCTTGGTGCATTTGGAGGGAGTTTTCTTAGTTTTGCAGTCGCTCCTCTTTATCGGGGTCTTCCCCGATGTACTGCTGGCGAAAGAGCAGCCCGTAACTTTCTTCGACGAGTTCAAGCTGATATTCACGCTGAAATGGTGGAAGGCAATTCGTGTTAGGCAAAGCCGATGTATCTGCACGCGAATTTGATGAATTCGCTCGACGTTTAAGAGTCATGTAAATTGAGTTATCAATTTAATTAGATTACCGATAAAATCCCCGACGAAATTCAAGACAGTTACCTCAAATTCGACGCCTCCATGCATTTCGTTTGTCATTGCGGGACCGCGCCTTTGATCGCGTCGTCCATGCGGGTCAGATTATCAAGCTCCTTCATGAATCTCAAGTGTGACATGACGGGTGAATAGCGCGTGTTCTCGGGGCGCACGACCGGCCGCTGGAAAAACTCTGAAATACGCGGTCCGAGAATGAGAATCGACGGACGAACGTCGAGCGCGTCGGCGAGAGATAGTCAACGCGGCCGAGAAATAACCGGCTGAAAGTGCAGAAACACAAATTCTATCGACCCAGCTGTCGATGCCTAGGATACGTGGGATACGCGTCGATCAGCGTGCCAATACTGCCACGCCAATGCCGCGTGAATTCCTCACGAGGCGAGTGCGTGGTTTAAATGGACGCGACGCTTGGCGACGTTACAAGGAGATATTTAAAAAGAACGTTAACTTTTAAACCGCCACCGATCGTTCTTGTTTTGCCCGCGCAAGTGTCGCCGCGCGCTTCCGGTTGAATTTGAAATTCTGATGTGGTGGCTAGGCGACTGAATAGTCTCTATCAATAAAATCGACAATGGTTTCGCAGTCACGGCATCACTCATTAAAATACAGCAAACAAGGAAAATGACACGACTTAACATTGTTACACAAAATATCTCGCGTAGTCTTTCAATCACATCTTAAAACCAAATAATCTATATGCCTATAGTGTAGCATTCCTCCTCTGCTCATTTCAAGATCATGGCGTTTATCATAATCGCATCACGTAAAAGAGTCACGGTGCGATCTCACTTCATAAAATATTGTACATAAAATTGTTTTTATATTTTATTATTTCTGATAAAATTTATAATTGCAAATGTTTTATGATTGTTAAAGAAGTGAAAAAGGCGTGACTGTGTGAAAGGCAAAAGAGGAGTTTTAGAATCAATTTAGATAGCATAAAGCTGGCAATGATATATTTAATATACGTTAAGCAAGTTACATTAAGCAATCTGTAGTATAGCTTATGTGCTTATGCACGACTATAGCCATTCGCGATTGATGTAATCTTTTTTTCCCGAGGGATTGTAATATGTAATATATGTCTTATTTTGATTTACACTTATCATATCCAGAGAGTAGAGGAAGAGGGAGATTGCGTTTTTTTTTATAAGTATTAATTTTCTTTACAATTTTTAAGATAAAAATTCAATATAATATTCAATATATATGTAGAAGTTTGTAAAAGTAAAATTAATACATAGTAAAAAATGTAATAACAATAGAATGAGAATGTATGAAATAAACAATGCTGTAAGAAATAATGTATAAAAATAGAAAATATATTGTACAAAACTTACACATGCATCCATTCCATTGCCATAACTATATCGTATTACATTATACAGTATTAATAACAGTAATAAATCGTTTTCTATTTGTAGTTAACAATATTACCACACAAAAATTTTCTTATATGTTATAATACTTGCAAATCGCTTTTTATTTCTTTCCAACAATAAAAAAATAATTTTAGATACTTATATATGGTAATACGATATAAAATACAAGATATAACGTTTTATTATAAACTATAATAAAGATATAACGCGTATATAATGTAAATTGCAAAACCGTTTAAAGTCACTATTAAAATCGAAATAAATTAGAAAACGCAGTAAATAATTGAAAAAAATAATTTTTAATAATAAATATATATTTATAAAAAGTATTTATAAAAACTAAAATTTGTGTTACAAATAAATCTTCATTGATATGAAGGCAGTATTGTAAGTTGGCTTTTTTCTATCCATACATTAATATCTATTTTTCAATAGATCAGTCGCATGTATCATTTTGAAATATTCAAATAGCGCAAGAGTGCAAGAACCGTATAAAATGTGCTGCGAGAAACGTTTGAAAGATTGAAAAGTCTCTTAGACATTTTTTATGGCGCACTTTAGACGCTTGTTTAACGTTACTATTGCTAGCATAGGCTGTTACATTAATTCTCTACTTTACTGGCGGTATTTTCGTCGTACTGAATGGACGGTACCATAGGCGGCTTGAAGCCGTACTCCATTTTTGATTGCCTGAAACTTCCGTGATGGTGCTGCGTTTCCGGCTGCCTGGACTTCCTCAGAGCTAACGATTGAGAGCTCGTGGAGAATTGCGGCGACTTTATTTGCGAGAACACCTTGCTCTGCGAGGTTTTGCGCGGCGGCGCAGGACCCACGTACTCATCCTTGACCGCCTGCTTATCCTTCTCCACTAGATTGTACAGGAACTGCCGTCCGAAGGACGGTACCGCGTACGACGTCGCGGACGAGTGCGGTCGCAGGATCACGTGACTGCCAAACTTCTTCGGCAGTATCACCAGTTTGATGTTGGAGAAGTGTGCCGTGGGAACGAAATTCTTGCCGACGTCGATATTGTAGTCGTACGCCGACGGTTTGCCGTAGGGAATGCTGTAAAACTGCGACACGTTTTGTAACGGCTGCGACCCGAACGTCAGGCCGCCGGCAGCACCGTGGAGATTCGCGTTCTCGCCGGCAAAGACCGCTTCCTGCGGCTTCGGGTAATATTTCGTAAATCTGGTCTCGATCGGGCCGCTGCCGTCGGTCGGCCTGTCCGCGTTCGCGCGGTACGGTCGAGAGGGCCGCGAGGAAGTCATCGGTTTCTCCGTGGCTTTTTCTATCGGCACCGTTGCGTGCGCCGGCTGCTGGTCGATTGGTGCCGCCGAGTATGCCGGGTAGCTGGCCGCTGGCAGTCTCACGTGCACCGGGTACGAAGGAGGAGGCAGCGGCTGCACTACTAATCGCTGAACCGTATATGGCACCCTTTTCTCGACCACCCGTTCGATGTGGAGCGGATAGATATGTGGCCTTTCCACCACACGGTTGAGCGGCACCTGCACGTGCACGGGATACGACTGCGGCAAAGGTACCGGTACCGGTACCGGTACCGGCACTTGCATCTGTACCTTCTTCTCGACCAGTCGCTCCACCGGAATCTTCTTCTCGATCTCGATCGGATGCGGCGCGTGAACGGTCTTCTCGATGATCTTCTCGATCGGATAAGGCCGCGGGATCGGCACCAGGAAACCACCGTTCGCGGGTGATCCTTCGGGAATTATCCTGAGAAGAAGATGCGGGACCTCCGGTCGCCTTATCTCCGGCGATCGAAATGAGTGCTGATGATCGTACGGTTGATTTGATTGCGGCTGCTGCAATTGCGAGTACTGATACGTACTCGGTACGTACGATTTTACGAGCTCGCTCGCTGTTTCTTGCCTAGTGGCCGTTCCAACGGGTTTTACGCGTGGCGGTATGCCGTTATCGTTGCCGTTAAAATTATGTCGTATATTAGATTGATCGTATAACGTGTCATCAAATTGATTTGGGCCGAACAGAACGGGACCGACAGACTGCATGCTGTTGTATTTGAACGTTGGCTGCAACTCGAGGGATGTTTGCTCGTGAGTACTCGATGAATATTCGGCGCCCACGGCCGAAGCCGTCGGTTTGCCAACGTCATTTTCGAGGGCATTGTATTCGTACTGGTTAAGCTTCTGCGGGAACGTGGACGCGTGCGCCTTAACGACGCTCTTTTCGCCCTGGTCATTACCTGGAACGGAAGTCGTATATTAACGCATTGTCTACCGCATTCCACCACGTATGGGTGAAAACGGGCAATTTCTAGTGGCGCTGATGCGTGATTTGATAATGCGAGTATTATGACGCGCATATGGCGAGATTAGTCCGTCGTTGTACGTTAGTGTGTAAGCTTGCGTCATATAGACTTTTTTCCGCGTTAAAAAAATTTGGTGAAAGTTTAATGTCGAGTCATCTCGAAATTATTATTAGGGCAATTCTCTTTTATCTCAGCTTTCATATGGGATTTTGAGCGGAATAGTGATAGTTCCGTATAAAAATGAAATATATAATTAATAAATAAAAATAAAATACAGACGTATTATTTTTACGTTAATATATTCCTATTACATTTTTCATAATTTTAATCTTAAAATGGCTTTTTATAATTGAAATTCAAGTGATTAAATGATAATTGAAGTTCAGATATACGAGTTTTCTAATATTCATTGATAATTGTTTTTTTGATTAAAATTAAACTAAAATAAAATTCAATAAATAAACGTTGAGACAATCGATCGATAAGCTTATATTACCTTGATAACTATCGTAAGTCGATCGCACTTCTGATTGCTCGATCTGATCGTACGGCTGCTCCGATCTCTGCGAACTCCCAATATTGTTCGTTTCGATGACACCGAGGTTCGTAGTCTGTTGAATGTATTCCGGGGGATAATGAATCTCGTGCACCGGCGCGGTATGGTAGATCTCGACGGACTTTTGAATCTCGACGGAGTCGTTGGGAACTTTTTGTATGTCAACTTCAGCACGCTTCTCGACCTCGTCGCGTTCAAAACTCTCGTCCTGGTAATCGATAAACGATTGGTTCCCATTGTCCCTGACAAAATCCTCATCCACAGTTGCTAGACGTTGTAAATCTTGTTGGGGATCATCTTGGGGATATTCCTCGATGTTCATCATGGCAGATTGTTCATTGTTATTTGTTAAATCTGCTTGGTTGGCGTTCACCAATGTGATCCCGACTTGCAGAGGGTTCAGCATGGCCGAGGACGTTATGCTGGCGGAAGCCGCCGTTTTGAAGCCTTCGGCGTTGGTCTCCGACATAATCTCGGCGTTCTCGACTTGTCTATAGGTTTCGGATGCATCGTCCATATAATCAGCAATCATCTCCCGTGTTTCTCTATCAGGTAAGTCGGCCACGACGATCGGGCCTGAAAATCTCGCTTGAAACGAAGGAATGATCTCCACGGTCGTCGACGTTCTTACAACGGTTTCCGATTTTTTTGCAGACTCCATAGATTTCTCTATGGTTTTTTCGTCCGCGGTATCATTACGCGCTCGAGATAATCTCGCTAGTGGCGTTGGAAGAATTTCAGGCACGACGTCGTTCTCGAGGATTGAAGCGATATTGCTCGACGGCGAGCTTTCCGTTGTGATTTTGCTGAAAACTTCATCAGAATTCTCCGCGGACGTTTTAGAATTCAACTTAATGTCGTCAGAAAACGAATCATCTGCCAAATTACTTTCCTCCTTTACTGCGAGCACAAATGGTTTCTGAGTAGCCGACGCGTATGGCCTTTTACGGGTGTCTTCATTTTCGAGAGGCGATACAGTGTTGATGTAAGGCTTCGAAAAACTCGCGTGCTCGTCGTCCTTTTGGCCCTCGCTGATCCGAATGACAGTCCTGACAATTGTTCCGTCACGCGGCTGATCCTGGACTTTTTCTCCGAAATTGCCGGCATTTTCGACAAGGAGCGCATCCTCGGTGTACCCCGACTCGTGACTTGGATCACTTGGATACTCTCCAAATGGATACTTGTCGGTTGACTCTAAACGGATACTTGTCTCGGAGAGCGGCGTCGCATAAATCGATCCTGACGAGGAGGAATCGGTCGTGGAAACATCATTCGATCCTCTCTCCTCGCTGGCGTGAACTGCTGATCTACTTAATCCGGTATTCGCGAAATCGTCAGAATGATCTTCGGTGCCTGTCTGCTCAGAACTCGTAGCTTCTACGTCCGTTACGTATGGCTGCACTATCTGCTTCCCCGGCAAATCCGTGTAATCGACAGCCTGAAAAATAAATCAGTTATAATAATTGTCTAGAAAATTCACAATCACTCGGAATAATTTTGCGATGAAAATTATGTTGGAAAATTGAAAGTTACATATATTATTTCTCACGAAATGCTATATAGAAGTAAAAATTTAATAGAACTGTCATATATATAATAAACATATTATATAATGCAAATCGGTTTTGTTAATTAAGAAAAATATTTATTTCAATTACCGCAACTTAATATACATTATATTATTACTAATTTGCATTAGCATAGTATTATTGACTACTTATTGATACATAAATATTAAATTGAATGAATTCGCGTACACTTAATTATACTGATAATTTATCCAAAGTGAATTTTATATATTTTACAGCATGTTGTGTAAAAGAACTAAAAGTTCCGAAAAAGTTGAAAAATAAAACATTAACAATGAAATATTATTTACTGTATTTTGTAATACATATATACTTTTATTTCTTAACTTTTATGTAGGTAATGATTTATAGAAATGAAATCATCAGACTCATCTGATATTAATGCAACCATGATTATCGTTTTCCACTCATCTTCATGAGAATGTTAACATAAATTAGGTTTGCGGGAAAATTTATATTACCGGCTATGTAACTCATTGCACAATATTAGGAAGCTTTCTTCTTTTCTTCATTTTCTCAAGCAGCCTTAATTATTTCGAACGCTCGTTAACTTTCCTCATTCTATCACGTTGAAATCATTCATTTATTTTGTTTTTAAACTTTTTCTGCGGTATCTGACCTGACATCGATGTTGTTGACCGGAGGAGGATACGAGATACTCGATCGTATCTAAGCGCCACGGATCTCCAAACGAAGCAAATCGCGGTGACCCAGAAGATTTTGCAAAAAGAAGGCGTAAAAAGCGCGAGGTATAGCGCACTCACGGATAAAAATCGACGACAAACGTGCTTCGACTATTCCAAGCAACGATATCGACATACTTTTTTTGCGAGATAAAAAACTAATATAGTAGCTGATATATTATACGCATGTTACATGTATATACCGCGCAAAAGTGTGATCGAAAGAACAACACTTTCAAAAAAGTTTGTAGCTAATCTTTTGATCATTTATCACGATTCGAGCGGCCAACTTTCTCGAAAACCATGACTGTTAATTATTGTCTCTTAAAGGACTAAATGGACATGGAAATCGATAAATTTGTAAAGAATAGTAAAATAAACCGTCAAAGAGTAAGTTTCACTAAGCAGATATTTATCGTTGCGAGAGATAATTAGATAATTAACCAGTTTTCGAAAACAGTTTGAGAGAAAAGCTCTGGCTATATGGAACGGACACACCCATTAAAAAGAATCTGCGGCACCCCGTAGTTTCCCATCGTAATCCCGCGCGGCGATCTTTCCGCATCGCGCGGGAGATCGGCCGGCGCGGCGCGGCGCGGCGCGCGGTGGCTGAAAATAACGCGTCTGATGGCGGTCGCCCGGCGCGAGAGAAAGGTGCAGTTACGGTACCAACGCCGATCTCCCTTTCTCCCGTGGCGTTCGAGCGAGAAGAAAGGAGAAACGAGAAAGAGATGCGCCGCATTCCTGTATCGCGCGCGCAAAAGAAAAACCAGTGAGAGTCGAGTAAATCCCGATGGTCCAGCGAGAACGAAGCGGAGCCGATACGTCCTCAATCCAACGACGGTGGACCCTTTACTTTCTCCTTATTTGCCGAAACCACATATTTTGCTTTCTTTCACAAAACACGTGTTTCTGGTATTTCTAATTGAACGCGGTTCATAGCGTAATGAAGAAGAGAAGTAAATTCGATTAGATTGAGGTTTGAAGCTATATCTCTTTGTAGAATGGATAATAATCTCGTTACGAATTTACTTCGTTCTTTTATTTATTAATATAAATATATTAAATAATATATTTAGGTATTATTGAATATAAAATTCTTTTATATTTCATTTTTCAATTGTAATTTTTATATTTCTCAACGCTTCAAATTTCGTGTAATTAATTCAAACGATTTTACAATTACCAGTTAAATGTGAATCAAGATTTGCTTAAATTTAATTGACGAAATTTAGTTGCTTAATTGTTAAATTCTTAAAACTTAATGTGGCAAAATTCTTTAACTTTTAATAAATAAATTACTTTTTATTAGAAATATGAACTATTTTTTATACAAATATAGTTATTCGATTTTGTATAATATACATATATTATACCATGTACTTTTTCTGGAAGAAATATTATTATATATAATAGTATGATATTCAGAGAATATATTATACTTTTGAGATTTGTTTGCCTTTTATGGCATTCAAATATTTTTCATATTTTGTTTTGCCAATGACCCAGTTTGAACAGTATTCTTAGTGAACTAGAAGCGTCAGGAACTTTTTGCGTGTGTTACGGATCTGCGATGCTGCATGGATGCATACATATTACGAATAAATCAAGACATAATTGACTATGGTTCGGCTTATCCGACACGGATATGGAGAGAAGTGGTGCATTAAAATAATAATAACGAACAACACACACATACACACACACAGAGAGAGAGAAGCTTTTGTGGGGCAAATGTGTTAATAAAGTAACCATAACTTCGAGGCAACTCGTCGAGGTACCAATAGTCTGATGCATCAAGAACGAGTGGCCTTATCTTTCCAGTTTGGTACATGATTTATATATACAAACACATCGAAAACAACTTTCTCCATATATTATTTCCCTGTCATAAGAAAATAAATAATCATCAAGTTATATCTGCATATTTTATTAATCAAATCAAAATAATAGAGAATGACTCATCTTAACGCAAATGCATATCCTTTTCTCAATCTTCTTTCTTTTTTTTTGTTACCCAAGAATGTCGCTAAATGAATCGAAAGAGTAAAATTGAAAAGACTCGCACGATGCAACATTAATCTAACCGATTTTTTTCACGACTTTAAAATAGTCGATCGTAGATATAATTTTCTCAGCTTTCCGACCGGAAAATTTCAGTCGCGCAGCTATCAATCGTACACTTGACAAACGTCGATCGATTCGTTTCCCTACGTTGCATGACATTGTGTAACATACGATGGTGCGCGATGGTGCATTTCGTTGGACGGTAATCACCGGCGCAGCGAACGAATTTACGTCCGCGTGTGGCCACTTTCACTGGCGAGTTTCCTTTTAACGCGAAAAAAAATACACGCTCTTCGTGCCCGTCGGGCGCATTCTCCGCCCGTTGTCGCATTTTACCTTGTCCCTGACAACGTTCCGCCAGTGCGCGCCTCTTAATTCAGCCACGGTATTTGTACAATAGCAATTGCATGAATTTGACCCGGAATGCGCTCGAAACAACTACGATTAAATCACCCGCTGACGCGACTCATGACTGCCCGACGCGAAATTTTCACCGTTTATCCTTAAACGGTTTGAAGCGTGTTTTTATTTCGCGTGAGAGTATAAAGAAATCTGGAGATTTCAATTTTATTACAGGAAAACGCGTTCACTTTCAATGAGCAAACTGTTAAATTAAAAAATTAATATTTATCTCATAAGCACTCAAAATAAAAAATGTATGTGCTAATTATTTTTCACATATACATACACGCACACACAATGGATCGTTCTTAATTGAAGAAAATGAATAGAAATAGAAAGGGAAAGAGAGAAGTTTCTGTTTTGCATGCAAAAATAATTGTCAATTTTATGATGCTTTTATAAAGTTTGAAACTCTCATTCTTTATATTATTTTATTTTTATATTAATTTTGAAACAATGTGATTATTTTTTCTTCAGCTTATTTTATACGTGGTATTCCTGACAATACGATTAACATTTATGAATCTCTTCTTCAAAATGACAATGATATTACATCCGTAACAAACTTCTTGGATAATTTTATATTCTATACTAGAAATTTCTTGGCAGGCAAAGCAAAGTACATTCTGACACGAAAATTTCCAAAGTATGCAAATAAAGATGTACGCGAAAGTATTCGACTTTCCTGATCACTATTTTCTCTGGAATAATTAAATTTCAAAATTCTAATCATTGGCGTAAACTCATCTAATTTTATAAATTAATTAAATAACTTTTGTATTTATATATATTACTTGTTATTTATATAAAATACTTAATTTTGGGTTAATTTATATTTTATATACCTATTATTCGCGAATTAGAAATATCTCGTTTTATCGATAAATTTTATCGTTATACACAGCGATGTGAATGGTGTGAAGAAAAATTAATTGTTCGCGTTTTTCAATGGAACGGCTGGCGCTTCGCGAAAGACATTTTAGAAAAGGTGGGAACCGCAGGCAATGAACTATTTCGTGTGTGGCACAAACCACGTTGCAAGTGAAAATGTTTTCTTTCTCTCTCTCTATTTCTCGAGACCACGACATTCACTCAGTCCACGCTAGCTCCCAGCTGTAATTCATCTCGGCTCGTCGCGCCTATACGTAAAGTAGCACTTGAATGACGCGCTGCAAGTAGATCGAGGTTAAAGATTTCTATGCCCCAAGGTTAAGGATGTTTGTAAGTACTCTATTCGCCTAAACTCTAGGGCTCATCCTTACGGCCCCCCTACGGCTGTAGCTGTCGGAATTAACAGAAGAAACTCTGTTGACGAGACACGCGCTTCAATCATCTTCGAACTTTCTCTACCATGTATTGGAACCATCGATCTAGATTTAATTACGAGTGTTTTCGATCGTACAGTGTTTTTGACCATCCACAAAATCACTTTCTCGGTTTCATATTAAAACGTTCCAAATTCCGATTAGAAATAAATTAAGATAGAAAGAATTTGCATCTGTGCACAATATTTTTCTCGTATTTTTTTAAGGCTTGTATGACTTTTGGATTATTCATTTTTTTTGCTCAAAACTGTTTAAAGTAACTAAAGATAAAGAGCAATTGTAACTTTTGATATAGATATATAATTTATTATAAGTAAATAACAAAGCGGTATATTTTAATAACTTTCCCAGAAAAATTCACTGCTAGTGATTTACATAATATAATACTATTTGCCGAGTTTACCTTTTCATTATTCGAATTTGCGGTGTTATGTTCCGAAGATGCAGTTACGAATGCCGCCCATGTTATAAGAGCAACCTGTAAGGAGAATAATTATAATACATTCCGTGCGTCAAAAAAATGGCACAGTTATCTAGATTTTAATATAAAAGTATAGATAACCGTAAATTTATAAAATGCAGTTTGTCGTAAAAATACAGTATAATACAATTTAATTTTTGGAAAAAATTTTCATCTTACAGTTTTTTGTATTTATATCTGTGTATAATAATAGATAAATAAAATAATAAGATTTTGAGACGATTAAACTACATTTTTATTACATAATAAGTTTCATAAAATAAAATTTTTTCCCTATGTTTCTTTTAATAAAAGTAAGATGTATCATCATAATTATTCATTGACTTTAAAGATTACAGTTAACATAAATTAGTCTAAGGTATTAATCTAACGTAAATAAATATATGTGTAGAAAGTCATGTAATATATAATCAATTAAGATAGTTTTAAATTGCTCTGTCAGCACTTACTCTTAATTAACTTATAATTAATATAATAAAGTTAAAGTATGGAAATTAGATTTTATATATTATATTTTTAAATTTAATTTTGTAAACGAGAAAGACTCTATTTTTAGATTCGACAACGTTTTGCAATGTCGTGACAATTCGACCATTGGTTTTGGTCAGATTAATCGTCAAAACTTTTTCGACCATGAGTCAATTTAAAAACCACTAAAACCCATGGTCGAAAAAGTCTTG